CAAAATAATGTAAAAAGTGGTGTGACGAGTAGTTCATGGCCTTAAATCCTCATAAATGTAAATCCACGTCAATTTCACACAGCCGTAATCATCATACCATTTCTTTCATATTTGAAAAAACCCCTGTTTACAATGTCAATGTTGTCCCATTCAAGTATGCAGGCATTACTATTATGCATGATTTCAACTGGTCCTCTTATGTGACTAGCATCACATCATATTCCAACAAATCTTTAGGATTTCCGAAATGTAATGTTCACAGTGCTGAACACCTAAAACTACTCACATATAGAACAATGGTTCTATGTGTGAGAAGCAGTCACTTATTTGGAATCCTTAAAATCCGTTCAAATTTGCACACTAAGGTATATCCATACATCACATGACATCAGTGTTTCATTAATAAAAGCTGATTCTGGTTTGGATGCACTAGCACAGTGCTGTCACATAGCAAGCTTATTATTATATCATAAATTATATAACAGATAACTTTACCAAGCACCTCACATTCTACCTCCTATGCGCATTTCACTGCACACAGGTCATTCTTTCAACGTTGCTCGTCCAAGTGCACATACTGTTACTTGCTCGCCATCATTTTTCCACCGCACAGTCAAAGACTGAAATGGCCTTCCCCATCACATCACCTGCCTTCATTGAAGAAATGACAAGAATTATTGGTGAACGAATTTTGTAATTTTTTTTATGTAACCACCCCATATGTAACACCTCTTAGGGGTTTTTAAGGTAAATAAATGAAATGAAATTTATGACAAGTCAAACTGTGACATTTGAAACTATGGCAAATGTATCAGATGAGAGTTGAGGGCGAGTGAACTGCAAGTGTCTTACCTATGGCATGAACAGAGGTCAGTCACCCCTGCACATCAGAGCCCGGCCCCCCAGGCTAAGCTACCGCTGCACGCTTTGGACCCATCAGCCGAGATTCACCGTCTGCATTGTGCCATGGATACCCTGCTGCCCGCACCGCACGAATGCCCTTCAATGTTCCCGCCTGTGCCTCCGTCACTACTGCCGCCCTTCCCCTCATGGCCACGAGGCACGGAAACAGAACTGACGTCACACCGCTACGATAAAAGCGTCACCAAAGGCTGCGCGCTCTTCAGTGGGCTCGGCAGCACCCCAGCGATGGCCCGCACTCACACGCAACGCCTGCTTTTTGTGCAGGTAAAAAATTCCTGTTCCCTATTCTCCAAGCGTACCAAATACGCTGCATTGCTAGTGCTGCCGAGCCCAAACTGTTGCTTAGAGGTTGTTTCTAGCTGTATTCGTGCCCTGCGAGTGCTGTTGCTATTATGTGGCGACATCGAGACAAACCCTGGCCCTGCAACTCGGTCCTCTAATACTGAAACCCCTAACGACGTTATGTCTGTCCTCAACGATGTTCAGTCCGAGCAGGCAGCCATCATTAATAAAATGAAATCCATACTTTCTACGCTCCTGCAACACGAGCAAAAATTTGAAGAAATTACTAAAAGACTTTCTAAAATTGAAGACAACTGCTCTGTAATAGCCGCGGTAAAAGAAAAGGTCGACGGCTTACAAACACTAACTGAGCAAAACTGTGGTGATATCGCTAGCCTTGTCGCCAGGATGGACAACTCTGAGGACAGACAGCGACGATGCAACCTTGTTTTTCACGGTTTTGAAGATGCCAGTGACGAGACTTGGGCACAGTCTGAGAAGTGCGTCATGGATCTATGTCTCGCCAATCTGGAAGTTTCAGTCCAACCTAGAGACATTGAACGCGCTCACCGCATAGGGCGTTTTCAACCAAGTAAAAATAGACCCATCATTGTCCGGTTCTGTCATTTCGAGGATCGAGAACTAGTGCTGTCCAACGCCAAAAAACTAAAAGACACCAACTACAGCATTAGCAAAGATCTTTCCCCCAACACACGCAAGGCCTGTAAGCACCTCATTGAATTTGGTAAAGCATCTCGCAAGGCCTATAAACTTCGGTACAACAAACTAACCATTGATGGCACCACTTACGTTTTCGATCGCTCTTCTGAAAAAGTAATCCCCCTCCGCCCATAGCTACCACCTCCCACCTCAGCGGATCCTAAATTAAACCCTGAACTTTTGTCAATTGTACACACTAACATTAGAAGCCTCTTGCCGAAACGCGACTCGCTTCTTTAATCTTATTTGCACGACAGAATGCAACTTTGTTCTCTTAACCGAAACGTGGCTAAACCCTTCAATAAGCAATTCCGAATCAGCACCATGCTTTCTTGGCTTTACCATATTTCGGCGAGATCGTGATGGTAAGCGTGGTGGTGGCGTCCTGATAGCTGCTCACAGTCGATTAAATTGCTCCCCAGTGGTCATCCCTTCCAGCCTTGAATTACTGCTTGTCTGCTGCAGAAATTCATATCCTCCGGTTATCATTGGAGTCTGTTACCGCCCCCCTGACGCAGATGCTTCATTTATCGCTAATTTCCACAGTGCTCTTAACTTCCTGAATGCCTCCTATCCTAACATACCGGTTATTTTAATGGGTGACTAACTTCCCAGGAATAATCTGGTCTAACCTCGCGCTCACGATATCTAAACACACTATGGAAAGCGACTTTGTTAACACGTGCCTAACATTTGGTTTATCTCAACTTCTTTCATTCCCAACGCGAGCTACTGAGCACTCTTCAAATATTCTCGACCTCATTTTCACGTCACACCCCGACAATCTTGCATCCCTAGTTCCTCTCCCAGAGATTAGTGATCACGCTGTGCTTCACGCTTCGTTTTCTAATCAACTACCAGACAAAAGCCATTCCAAGAAAACCCTCACACTCTACGATAAGGGTAACTATGCTGCCATTAACAACGAACTATCCATATTTTTTGAATGGTATTTAAACGACTTCTTCCAACGCCTCCTTGAAACTAACTGGTCTTTGTTCAAGTGCAAAATCCATGATTTGATCAATAGATTTATACCCACAATTACAATTACAGAACAGGCATCTTCACCTTGGTTCAACATATCTCTCAAGCGTCTTAACAATAAGAAAAAGCGATTAGATCGCTCGGCTAAACTGTCTAACAGCGCGAGCGCTTGGAACAAGTACCGCGGAATGGCAAAGGAATTTGAATCACTCGCTGCGAAGGCTAAGCGTTCTTTTTTCTCTTCTACATTACCTAATATGCTACGAAATAACCCTAAACAATTTTGGAGAGCCATTAACCCCAACCCCACAAAAACGTTATCCTTACTTGATGAACACGGCGATCCTATTCCAGAACATGTTACACCTCAAGTGCTAAATACTGCCTTCTCTTCCGTATTTACCCCTGAATCTTGCAGCCCGCTTCCAGACTCCCCATTTCGTGATCATCCTGTCATGCCAGGCATTACATTCGATTCATACGGTATCGCAAAACTAATTGACGAATTGAAACTAACGTCATCCGTGGGAATGGATGGCATCAATTGCAAAATTCTGAAAAACACTAAGCCTATAACAAGCATTATTCTTTCGCACATATTTCAGCAGTCCATTTCATGCGGAGTGGTGCCGGAAGACTGGAAGCTTGGTAAGATCGTTCCTGTCTCGAAAAAAGGTTTTTCATCTTCACCGAGTAATTATCGCCCCATATCCATCACAAGTGTATGCTCCAAATTAATGGAACACATAATTTATTCCCACATAGTAATTTTTCTACATTCAGTACATTTCTTTCACCCTAACCAACACGGTTTTCAAAAAGGACTTTCATGTGACACTCAACTCGCCCTGTTCGTTAACGACCCGAGTTCTAGCCTGGATAATAACATACCTGTAGACGCCATTTTCATTGATTTCGAAAAAGCCTTTGACAAAGTTTCTCATAACAGATTATTTTTGAAGCTTTCACGTCTTAACCTTAATTGTCTTGTTTTTGATTGGATATGTGACTTCTTGACTAACCGTAAGCAGTTCGTATGTGCTAATAACCATCGCTCCTCCCTATCCGCTGTAACCTCCAGCGTACCTCAAGGCACGGTCCTTGGTCCTCTACTATTCCTAATCTATATTAACGACCTCCCCAATAACTTAGTGTCTAACATTCGTCTGTTCGCAGACGACTGTGTCATTTATCGTCCTATTCACAATTCTAACGACCTTGTCATCCTACAGTCTGATCTTTGTTTAATTCAATCTTGGTGCGAAAAATGGCTGATGTCCCTTAACATAAAGAAAACTTGTGTCGTTTCCTTCCATCGCCGTCAACCCTATTCCTCCAATAAATGCTTCTTATTTGATTCTGAAATAACAGCAGCTCATTCATGTAAATACCGCGGTATCACTCTAACTTCAGATCTGACCTGGTCATCCCACATTATGAACATCACTAATGACGCCAACCGCGTGCTTGGCTATTTCCGAAGAAACTTACGTCTAGCCCCACCTTCTGTTAAACTTTTAACCTATCTAACACTAGTCCGCCCGAAGCTAGAATACGCATGTGCCATCTGGGATCCCCATCAAATAACTCTTATTAAAATGCTTGAAACTACCCAAAATCGTGCAGCCAGATTCATTTATTCTGACTATTCCTATCTTATCAGCGTCACCAAACTAAAATCTCAAGCTAACATGGTTAACTTAGCTTCACGCCGCAAAATTTCAAGACTGTGTTTGTTTCACACATTTTATCATGCATTGCACCTAAACCATGTTATCGTTCCCGCCCATCGTCTTTCATGCCGTATCAGCCATTCGAAAGCGGTTTATCCACCCCGTGTGCATACCACTGCCCATCACTCTTCATTTTTTGTGCAAACATCAACAGAATGGAACGATCTTCCTGCTGACATCATGCACCACTCCAGCATCGCCCATTTCAAAGAAGCCATCGAACAAATCATCTGTTTGTGAACTGTCTACCTCCTCATTTAACACCCCTTGACTGGGGCCCTTGAGGTATTATAAATAAATAAATAAATAAATAAATAAATAAATAAATTTGTTTTGAGGCGAATGGGTACAAACCTGGTCAGTTGGTCCATTAGGTTGACAAGCTTCATGGCCTCGTGCTCCTTCTGTTCCTCGCTCATCGCTTGCAAGGGCGGCTCACGTACTGGCTCGTGGCAGCCCAGCACAGGATTGATGTGGTCTCGATGCTTCAGGTACTCTTCCGTGTCGCTGTCCTCAGAGTCGCTTGAGTAGAGCACTCCGGTCGCCCTTAGCAACCCTCGCCGAGCGAGTAACCCCGCAGCATTCCCGTAACCAGTGTACTTGATCAGGCGGCCCACCTTCTCCTTGCAGAGCACAAACAGCAGCTCGGCTACCAGCTGCTTCGTGTCAGTGCAAGGAACCGTCATCAATCGCACCAGCCTGCACTCAACATTAGGCTTACTTAGAGATGGGAGATTGTATTTGTACACTAATGCACAGCCTCTCCCGAGTGCCAATAAAATGATGAACTAGACGAAAATGTTATCCACACACCAGAGAACACGTAAAAAAAAAGCAGCACCAAGAATCTCTAGATATGCACCTTTGTTATATGCCGCGTGATTATGACAGCGACACATCATGGTAAAAATGGCATTTCTTATTAGGTGTACATGCAAAAAGAAGTAGCCCTCACAGGTTAGCATGATGTAGCACCTTCTGTGCATGCATCTTTCTTTATTGTGTCTCTTAGGTTTTCGGTGGGAGAAAGTGAGTGCAAACACCGACGTAAACACAGCTTAAGGGTGTTTTATGTTCACCTAGTGACGTTACCGAGGACGTTCAACTTGAAGCAATTTTTGGAGCAGTTTAGAGCTTGTATTTTGGCATATAGGAGCACTCTTGAGCAGCTAATTTGACATCCTAGACTACACTGGATAAGCAAGATGTATTTGCATTCAAACCTCTGTAAATTATTATGGGGCTCTTATGAAAAGCAAGAAGTATATAGATTCATTGAGAAATGCCTTTATATGCACTGCAGAATTGTTCTTTCTCTTTAAAGAGGTTTCTCTCTTTCTCTTTAACAATGAAAATCATCCCAGGGCTACAGAAGGTCTGACTCAATAATGTGAAAATAGGGACATTGAACCGTTTAATGTTCTGAAATGACCTGTTCAGCAAATAGTTTTTATACTACAAGTAGAATAACGGACCAATAAAATTCTAATTTATGAAATGATACTTAAGTACCTCTAGGTAGTTATCAGCAGACATGGGAGACAGATGCCGCAAATTACAACAGCGCCTCAACATCAACATCTTTATTTCTTTTAGTATAGACAAAAACGTCCTCCAGTGTCAAAAGCTGCCGCTAGCAGTTTGACTAGGTTTACAAGGGATTGCACTATAAGCATTAAATGAAACCCGAACAGCGACAAACCTATGAAATGGTACAGTGCGCTCTGTCCACTTATCACGTGGACAGGCACGCATACATGCACAGAGCTGCCGAACAGGATGCGCACGTGTCAATGGCGATAACTGGATGAAGCGCACTGTACCATCACGAAGGCTTGCCGCTGTTCGGGTTTCATTTTACACTTATAGTACATGACAGTGCGAGAACAACTACTATTTTGGTACAAAACTAAACAACAAATTTGATACTCAGATGCATAATTTACAACAGGATGATTAACATTCTGGCAATAAGATAGGGGCATCCATCAGTAACAATGCAACAACCGCAATGGAACCTCTTATTATCAACCGCAAAGATGCCTTTCAGTCGGTTTGCTGTAAAGTTCTGAACATCTAATAGCAAAACATATTCTTAGTTTTCTTGAGTCTAACCACTTACTTTGCACAAGCCACGATAGGTTTCGGCATGGTCTTTCTGTGACACAATTAGCTGAAACGCCCCAAGATTTCAATAAAAACAGCGATGCCCTTCTGCAGACTGATGTATTCGTGTCAATTTAGGAAAGCCTTTGATAAGGTCGCTCATAGTGAATTACTTTTCAGGCTTGAAAAATTAGGAATAAGCAAAGAAGTATTAAAATGGATAGAGGCCTATTTATCCGCACGTCACAGGCTGTAAAAATTGAAAACTACACTTCAAGACCACTAACCGTGTACTCGGGCGTTCCCTAGAGATCCGTTTTAGGACCAATTTTTTTATGATATTTGTTATTGATATATGTTCAATAGTTGAGGCTCCTACTAAAATGAAAATGTTTGCAGATGACTGCTTGGTTTATTCCCCAGTTACTTGCCAAGGTGACCAAATTAATCAGAACAGGCGCTTATAGGCATTAGATCAGTGGTGTATAATATGGGACATGGAAATAAACTATAGCAAGACGACATTTACGCATATTCACTCTAGTGGGTGGGAATTGTCATTCATGTAGCTCATCAGAAGTCACCCTTTAAATAATTCCACTTGTTTCAAATACCTAGGAGTTAGTATTATGCACACATTGAAATGGCACTCGCATATCGATAACATCTGTTCTAAGGCGAACAAAAAACTGTATTTCCTATAGAAAAAACTGGAACATGCCACACTAGATGTAAAACTAACTGCTTACAAAACATTCATACGTCCTGTCTTGGAGTACGCTAGTATTGTGTGGTCACCTCACCAAAAGGTGTTGTGGACAAAAATTGAAAAAATAAAAAAATTAGCAGTCCTTTTCATAAGCGGTAGATACCAATGCACACACTCAGCCATAGCTTTGTTGAAGTCCTGTGGACTTGAGTCCTTGGAATATCGCAGGTGCAAACATCACCTAAAATTTCTTTTTAAGATTATAAGTGGGCAAACAAAAATAAATAAGGATTTATATCTTCAGCCCCCTGGAAGACGAAGTGATCGTCTTAATAATAGTAGTGCAATTCAACCTTATTTCACACGCACGAATGCTTTCCGCCACTCCTTTTTCGCAGACACAATAGATATGTGGAATAGTTTACCCAATGCGGTTGTGCGACAAACAACATCAGTGAATTTCGAAAATACATTTGACAGTTTTCTTTGTAGTGATGTGTGCCAAATTCTGTTGTGAGTATTTATTCGTTGATTTTTACGTTATAGTCACTGTTGTTTGTTTCTTATTTTTCTGTAGTTGGTTATTCATCTCATATTTATATGTGCTTTTTAATTTTTCTTTTTTGTGCAAACGTTATGTACTTTGTGACACCCTCCTTGTAATGACCCCAAGCACGGGGTTGACAGTATCAAATAAATAAATAAATAAACATTAAACGACAGACATGCTTGCACAAATAGCAAAGCAATCAAACAAAACATGATCGTTTTGTATACATTGTAATACATGAATACACCGAGCACATGCTTACATGTTAATGAAATGCATCTTCAATTATTTGCAATAAAATATAGTAGCATAGATACTAGTACATAATTAGCCACTAGATCCTAATAATAATAATGAAAGCTACTAGATAATATAGTAGCCTTAGAAGACCCTAGTTGCCAGGCAAGATAGAAATCCCAGGAAGCTGTCGCCGTGAGGAGGTACATTTGTCACTGCCCCTACTGTAACAAAAGTCACAAGACAAGGAAATGTCTAGCGTAGGCCGAACATGTGCCACATGCCAGTGTACTGCAGAACAAAAAAAAAAAAAAAGCATTCAGGAGGTTCACTGTACATCCCAAAATGAAGCGGAATTGGATGACAAATTCCAGTTTTTCACCTTGAGCATAAACGATGTATCTATGGACAAAGACTGGATAATCACGGCAATGCTGTCTAAATGCTACATACGCATGAAAATTGACACTGGAGTACAGGCAAAATTGCTTCCTCACGCCCCTTCTATAAAGGTGAGCTAAGCAGCAAAAGAAGGTGTCGTGTACTATCGTCTACTCTCCTGATGAGCTACGACAATGAAGTGATGAAAGACTGCGGGACCGTGACGCTTTCAGTGCGGACGAGGAACCGACTGATTTCTTTGTGGTCAAGAAAGAGAAGCAGGTGCTACTGGGCCTTCAAGCTTGTGAAGGTTTCGGAGTTGCTTCAAGGGTACAAACAGTTGAAATTCGTGCTGATTTGAAGACTCAAGTTCTCGGAAAATTTCCACAGCTTTTTGAAGGCCTAGGCTGCCTAAAAAAAAGCTACAGTCTACAGGTAAATGAAGAAGCTGATTCAGTGTTGCTGCCCTCACGCCGAATTCTACATGAGCTTCGTGAACCACAAAGCCTAAAAACTGGCCCACATGGAACGTCAAATAATTATCCGAAAGATGCAGGAGGTTGCCGTAAGGGTGAGTCCCCTTGCTACTGTCCGCAAAAAAAAAAAAAAAAAAAAAAAAAAAAAAAAAAAAGCTCGAATCCCAAGCACGTCAACAAAGGCGTGAAGCATGACTTCCATCAGATACCTTGAAGAGTCCAAGCTTGCATATGCACAGGTTTTCAGCTAGCTAGATAAGAACTGTGGGTTTCATCAAATTCCCTTAGATGGAAAGACATCCTAAGCCAGCACTGTCGTGTAGCCGGCACGGCGACACGTGAAAGTAACCACGCTACACCACAGTACAATCCATGACAATAACCCAGTTTAATCAGCGAGTATCGTTTATATACACACGAGCGCAGTGACGCCATCTATTGTGAGTCCAATGACTCAGAAAGCCATCTGGTGTAAACGCACAACACTACATCTATCCCCTCCCTTGATAATAGAACACAGATTATGTGCATATAAAAGAAACAGTCACTACCCGTGACAGAAAACTATAGTAAGTCTTCACTGTAAACAAGTCACTGCACGTAGTTCCCGAGTCTCTCTGGAGGTCTTCGCTCCCGTGTAGAGCTGATGAACGACCTCTGGTTCGTCGGCACGATGAGCACCCAGTCCTGCCGTCGTGTTCCCCGTTGGTGGAGGCCGTGGTGGGCTTGGCGTATGAGGAGGCAGTGCTGACCCCCCCGGAGACTGTGCAGCTTCCTGCATTGGGATATTTTGGGTCGTGTGGCTCTTTGCCTTCGAGGACGGTTTTCGCGCTGTGGCGTTTTCTGCCAACCCGTCTGTCTCCATGTCCGCCCACAGCGGTTCTTGTCTTGCCCCCGTTTCTTCGTGAACAGCTTCATGGGGTACAGCCGACAGTTGGGAGGCATTCCAGGTACGGCCGTCCTCCAAGTGGAATGACCATTGTCCTACCCGCCTCAGTATTTTGAGTGGAGCCCCAAAACTAGGGGTGCCTTTTATTCCAGGTACCGGGCGTTTCACCCGTACGTAGGCCCCCACTTTAAATTTGGGCTCCCGGGCTGCTCTTCGTTTGTCTGCATACGCCTTATTTCTTTGTTGGTATTCGCAGACACGACGCCGAAGTCTACGCAGTTCACGTGCAGGATGGGTGCCGAAATCCGCTGATGGCTGGCCAACAACATCTAATGATGTCCTCATGTGGCG